ACTTGTCAAATATCCTAAGAAATATACTTTTCATGCTATTCTAAAATGAAATTCTTAAGATTATACAATAATTTAATAATCAATATGAAGTTTTCAACCTATATAACAATTCTGATTTATTTTTTATATTAAAAAACAAAATGCAGTAATAAAAAATATCAAATATTTTTTATTGTTCCTTACTTTATTTAACATTATATAATAATATGTATGAACAAAATGTGAAACGAGTGTGCGCCACGCATACCCATCCACTCAAAACAAACTATTTGCATTAAACATAATATTTTAAAAATAATAATATTTTTTTAATTAAATAAAACCACTCGTTAAACACAAAGATATCTAATTTTTTGTTATTTTTCTTTTGATTTAGTCAAGTTGACCAAAACAGTCAACATGGAAAATAACGATAAACTAAAAAAAATACTCTTTCTGTCTTTTTTTAAAATCTATCCTTCTTGTTAAAAATATAAAAATGAATTTTTTCAATTTTAAAAAATTTTAAAATAAAAGCTTGATAAGAATATTCAAGAAAATAATAAAAAAGATAATTATTTAATGACCATATAAGAATAAATAATTAAAAAATTCAAAGGCGGTTTACACCCGATATAAAAAAAATAGAAAAACTAAAAATAGAATGGCAATTTGTGTAAAAAGAGTGAAATGGAAAGGGCAACGAGGAGAAACAAATAGGCTGGGTGGTGGCTAATGGCCGGTCTATTGGTTTCAAATTAATCGTTCGATGATTACCATAAATTCCACGCAAGCACCGCCCTTTTTAAACATTTCTCCTTTACGCAGATAATTCTCGTCGCCCTCTTTCTCTCTCTCTGTTTGACATTTTGGATTTTCCCCAAAAGAGATTTTAGATTGAAGAAGAGAAAATCACTCCTCTACGCACACGGAAGAAGGAAAGGGAAAAACCCCAGGAACGGGGAGGTTCATATCTTTTATTTGATTCAGAGCAAAGGGTTAGTTGTGGGGGAAATTGTTTGTTTATGTTCACGTATGTAATGCATCAGAAGAAATCGGAAGTTCAGATCGGAAAAGAAAGCAGCGGCGTCTCTTCCGATTTTAATCCCAAACCTTCCACTGTTCATCATCTCCCGCCATATCACCAGCAACAACATTTCCATTATCATCATCGTTTGCAACAGCAATCCGATACAACAGCGGCGACGGCGACGACGGCAATAACAGCAGCGACGAAGACGTCGCCGATTGCTGTTTTCCCTCAAATAATCACCCAGAATCCTCCGGAAAATGACACGATTGCCCCGCCTCCTTCGTCTTCGTCTTCCTCTTCACCGACCCCTTACAAGAGACCCCTTTTGACCCAAGCGCGTTCTCTCTCCAAATCCCCAACTCTGTACCGTTTTACGGCGCCCACACATTTCAATACCAAGAACACCCCTTCATTTTTCTCCTTTTCGGTTGCTGCTAAATCCTCCGTTTATCGAATTCTCCGTCGTTTACGGGTTCACCTACGCTTAATCCTCCTTTTATCTCTCCCTTTCTTTTACTTCTTAGTCTCACATCCAATCCACTCCTTTTTACTTGACTTCCTCTCCGCTTTTGCTTTCTCCGCTGCTCTTCTTTTTTCCCTTAACCTCGCCCTTCCTCGCCTCCCTTCTATTCGCTTGTTCTTAGCGCGTTCTTTTCCGATTAAGCTCAAGTCATCATCTTCTTTATCAAGGTCGCATTTACCAGTGTTTTGGTCAATTGGGTCTCGGCCAAAATCCGAAAAGAGAGCGAATTCAGGGTGTTGGGTTCAAGTTTATAGCAACGGAGACGTTTATGAAGGGGAATTTCATAAGGGGAAATGTGCAGGTAGCGGCGTTTATTACTATTATTTGAGTGGACGGTACGAGGGGGATTGGGTGGATGGGAAGTATGACGGCTATGGGGTGGAAACGTGGGCAAGAGGAAGCCGGTATCGCGGGCAGTATAGGCAGGGTCTTAGGCATGGATTTGGGGTTTATAGGTTCTACACAGGGGATGTTTATGCAGGAGAGTGGTCTAATGGGCAGAGTCATGGGTGTGGAGTTCATACCTGTGAGGATGGAAGTCGGTATGTTGGGGAATTCAAATGGGGAGTCAAGCATGGACTTGGACATTACCATTTCAGGTAATGTAAAGATTGGTTTTCTTGATTTGTTTTTGTTATATCTTTTTTTGGCGTTTGCTATGAATAATTATTGACTTTCTGATCGTTGCTATGAGTTTTTTCTTTTCTTCTCGTTGCTGCTTAATTGTCAGTTCATTATGCGGTTGTTGATTTTGAGATGTCTTTCTTATTTTGCCGAGGTACTTGGTGTTGGAATATGCTTACTTAGATACTTGTTCTTTGTTGTTGTAAGGTTTGGATGAATTTATTTGTGCACAATATCTTTATGTACTATTATTGGTTGAGAAGTAGCATAAGGGTGGTAGGGGATTGGAAATTTATTTTTCTCACTGATTGTTTGGTGTTTACAAATAAATGAAGTTACGGTTATCACTTATAACAATTCAGAACCCATAGCTGATGGTTTTGTTGCGTTGTCAGTACCCTATATTGTAGGATCTGATTGAGAACCTTGATAATTTCTTCCCCTGTTTTTTACATGGTTAGCTTGAATAGTAGATAAGTTTCATTTAAATGAAGCTCAAAGCAATTTAGGAGGAAGTTTTGTTTTATGTTTAAATGAAGCTTTTCATCATAGGAGTTACCTTTTCATTTAAAAACTTACTAGCTATCCACTTCATGAGCATAGTTTTATGTTTGACAACTCATTCTGGATTTGAATCTTTTGCTTTTATTTAGGAATGGAGATACATATGCGGGGGAATATTTTGCAGACAAGATGCATGGATTTGGTGTCTACTGCTTTGCAAATGGCCATCGGTATGAGGGTGCTTGGCATGAGGGTAGAAGACAAGGGCTTGGAATGTATACGTTTAGAAATGGGGAAACACAATCTGGTCATTGGCAAAATGGAATTCTTGATGTCCCAAGCACACAGAACGCTACATATCCTGTATCTCCTGTAGCTGTTTATCATTCTAAAGTACTTAATGCGGTGCAGGTACTTAACTTTTCTACTTTTATCTTTTACTATGCTCCTCTTTAAATATCAATGAAGGGGTATTTGGTGCTGTAGGTGGTAATAAATTTGTCTACTTTACCTATCTTTAATTGGATGGTCCCTTCTTACGATATCCTCAGCCATTCAATTTGGCATGACAGGAAAAGTAAGTTCATGGCCTGGTTGCTTACCCTTGAGTGATTTTTATATAAAATACAATTCACTGATGTAAATTGTAGGGTGTAAACCTATGGTTATACATAGATGGACCTTTTTAGCCATTCAAAAGTAATGAGAGAAGGAGCCCAAGTTTCACACCCCGGCATACAAAATGTATAGAAGAAAGGCCTAATACTCTCAAGACTTGACAATCGCTAAATTTTCCATTGCTTGTTCGGTAGTTTAGAATTATGCTTGCAATGCAACAAAGTTGGCCATCCTTACAGTCTTTATTGTTGTTCTGTCACATCACAAAGGACATAACAGTGTGAAACCTGATCATGTTTGACTGGTTCTGTGCTATGAGCAGGAGGCTCGACGGGCAGCGGAGAAAGCTTATGATGTGGCCAAGGTAGATGAGAGAGTCAACAAGGCAGTTGCTGCAGCTAATAGAGCAGCCAATGCAGCTAGAGTAATAGCAGTTAAAGCAGTTCAAAAGCAAATGCATCATAATAACAACAATGACAACAATCCCATTCCCATTGTGTGAGACTTCTGACAAACGGCTCATTTACCTTTGAAAATACATGAGATTGCAGCAAGAGGATGATGGCTTATGTGACTTTTCTTTTCAAATAGCTTTGTGTTTTATACTGTCATCTTCTCACAGTCCTCGTTCTTTCATCAAGAGGCTGTAATTCAACATGCCTACACGTTGCATGCCTGGCATGGAGGAAGATGGCTGAAGAGTATTCAGTCTTTTTTAGCGTCAAAATCATGTATACATGCTGGGAAGAAATTCCTAGAATAGAGAGGATGGAGAAAAAGAGATAGATTTGATGGTGGTGGCACCATTTTTCTAATTAACTTTAGCTTTCCCATCTTGGTACAGTTTTGTAAAGATGAGTTAGATGTAATATAAGTGCTGGTGGGCAGGTGAAACCCCCCATCCAACCAATGTTGTATGTGAACTTAATTGGTCTCTAGGATGAAAAGAAACTTATGCATGTCTTAAGTTTTTTCCTCATTCTATCAAAAGAAAAGGCTTATTCATAAGTTTTGCAAACAGATAATGGTCGTGCAAGCCTTTGCTTCATTTAGTTTTCCTGTAAATTTGTAGCCGTGTATGATTTTGCACCCCAGGTATCATTGAACCCCATCACAGCAAGGAGAACTTAACCAAGAAAACTCTTAATTGTAGGAAAAAGTAGATATTGGTGATAACAAGGTGACCAACGAGTTAAAACTTAAAACAGTACACATCTTTGTTTTATGCAGGACTCTATGGCTTGAAATTTTGCAGGTTCATGAACATAGTTGTTATTTTAATTCACGAATCAGGAGTAAAGGAACACAATTCCCAACTAGTAATTTGGAAGCATTAGAGATCAAGATACGACCAAAATCTCATTTTAACTCTGAGGAGCAAGTTGCCCGACAGGCGGAAGGCCAGAAAGAACCGCTGGAAGGGCTACCTCTAGACAGCAGTCCCTACCTTGAAGTACAAAGATATGGAGGACACAGGCTCAAGGGCTCAGGGACAGAATAAAACACCGATGATGCTACCCTATGGTAGTGGCATATCCGATGGAAAAGCAAATGACATGAAAGATGTTTTTAATCAGAATAATATCCATTTTATGAAATTTATGAAGTTTCGAGAGCTTTTATTGAACAACTTTTGGCGATTGAATCATAAGACAGTTCTCAACTTCATCAACAATCATGATCCAGGAATGGGTCCATGCAATCAGGAACACACAGCCATTAACAAGAAATAATAGAGTAAACACCAAAACTGCTTCAATTGATTCAAGATTTCAAAATATCCCGAATGGGAAATCCAATTGAAAACACTTGAAAGAGGCACTACGGTCAGTTCCATGTATCAAAAAGAAAAGAAAAAACACGACAGAATTTATCAATCAAATTAACTCTCAGTCTGCTCCCTCAGCCTCCGAATGGTGCTCCTGACGGTCACAGCACTTGCAGTGCTGCCACAGACAAACAAAACAGTAATTAGAAATACAGCAAAAGTTAAGATGAACACACAAAATTGCCAGAGATGGCTAACAGGATCTTACTTCAAAGTGTAAGCACCTCCAGCTTTCACTTTGCCACAGTCTTTGCATCCCCAAATTCCCACAGCTTTCCTCTTCACTGCATACTGCAATCATAATAACATGTTAGATCAATTAAGAAGCTGTCAAGCATATGAAATCATCTTGACTCTCAAACAAGTAGGAAACTCACCTTTCCACAGAACTCACAGAAGTACTTGCTGTGCTGACTGACCTCCATCTTCTTAATCTGCTTACGCAGACTGGCACCATATCGGGTACCTGAAATTTACAGGCTGTTAGCAACATCTCTAGATACACTGATGCACAGGCCAAAAACATTAAAAAATATTCCAAAGTACTTCAAAGAGTCAAGACAGGACACAAAGCTCAAAATCCCCATGACTACTATAAACACAAGCATCCAACCATCCAGTTTTCAGCCATAACAGTCTCTAAACAGAATCAACCCACACAAACAGTAAGCAAACAAGATATTCAACAGCTATTAACAATAAAAGATTCCTCATTTCCAGGAACATGATCGCATCTCAATAATATGACACAATAGTTCCTATTATAGCTTATATCTCATGAAACATTTCAAATTCAAAACGACCCAACTTCATAAAATCTAGACAGAGCACGTACCATATTTCCCAACAATACCAGCCTTCTTGGTTCTCTTTGTCTGCATAAAATTAATGCAGTGCAAGAGCTAACATAAGCTACCACCTTAAAACAGAACTACAAACTTTAACATATGAAAAGAACAAAAAAGACTTAACATTGATCTCAACAAAACTAAATAAACAATTATACCAATTAATAAAGGACTAAAATTTCAATAAAATTAAAAGTGAATCATCAAAATTACGAGACTTTATCAGTTTCCATTATTTTTCAACGCAATTTCAGATGAAAAAGCGGATAAAAAAAAATCTGTGGCTAAGAGTGATTTAAATGACACTGAAAATGAAACTTTTTGCTAAAATCTTAGGAGAAATGGCGAAGGAATTCCAGCGAAAGAGAAGCGTTACCATTTTGGGATGCGAGAGGAACGAAGCAAAAACCCTACAAATCCCCAATCGCTAAGCTCCGCAGCTAATTTAACACAGGAATCAACCGCTTGTTTGTTTATATACGGGTGAAAATGAGTTGCCCTAAGACCCGACCCAACTCCCAATTTCAATGGAAGCCCATTAAGACTTTTTAACCAACGTGAGCCACAGAACCCGGCCCAAATATGGATTAATAAAATTTAAATTTTCTATTCTTTTTCATTTGTCCTTTTTTTTTGTTGTAACAATAAATAAGAATGGTGTACGTAAAATCAACATTTAATTATTCGTACTCTATTGAAACTCAATTAAAAATCAACATTTAGTATTGGTAAAATTCACAAACTTAATTGGAAATAAAAAATAATTTTTAAAATTAATTTTTATGTATATTATTAATAAAAATAAATTAATAAATTAAAATTTAAAATCATACTCAAAACCATTTCATGAATTTTAGTATGTATTATATTAATTATAAATAATTTATAAAATATATATGTAACTAAAATTTAACATTACAAATTATTTAAATTTATTTCGATTTTAATATTCTTCATAAAAATTTATTATAAATTTAAAATTTTATTAATATGTGATTCCTGATAAATTATAAAATAATATTTTTAAGTCCAATGATAAAAGTGATTTCATTTTATATTCTTCAATCTTTCCCTATTCCAACATCCAACGAATAATCGCAGGGAGCAACGCAAACCCCAGCTTGTCAGAATTTTTGTTGTGTCAACGCGGTTTTTTTTTTTTTTTGGTTCTTCTTTTTCTTCGTGTGTTCGTCTTCCTCCTTTCCTCTTTCCCCGCATAAAAGGATATAAAAGAAGCTCCAAGACCTAACCTTGGGGATTATTTTCAGAATTGGCCTTTAGAGTCTCCAGAATGTACCCGCCAGGCATGCAGTACCATTACCCGCCGCCGATGCTGGTCAACTGTTCCAAGTGCCGGACCCCTTTACAGCTCCCGCCGGGTGCCGGATCCATCCGTTGCGCCATCTGTCAAGCCGTTACAAACATCGCAGACCCTCGCTCCGTTCCTCCTCCTTCGTCTCAATCGCCGGCTCCTTCCACGCATGCCCCTCCTCCGGCTTCTTCTCCGTCCCCTTACAACACGCACCGCCAGGACCACCTGCCCACGCGCATACGGGCGGAAAAGGGCGGTGATTTGTGGGATTTCGTATAGATACTCGAGGCACGAGCTCAAAGGTTGCATTAATGACGCCAAGTGCATGCGTTACCTCCTCATCAACAAGTTTAAGTTTCCCGAAGATTCCATTATCATGCTCACTGGTAAGATTCTCCTTTTCTCGTGTCAATTTCATATCTTTTTTCTTTTTATGATTCTGTCAATAGTATGTTGAATTTGACCTGATTCTGTTGAGAGTGATTTAATTGGGCAACAAATTTCTAAGGGATAAAGGTTGAGTTTTGATGAACCGGATCAGCCGTAAAGTTGATAGCTACCTTAGAGAATCTTACATCTCTGATTGATGCATTTATGCTAGAGTGTTTGATCAGGTTTACTTAATTACGTATGTGAATGAAGATTTTAAGAGTTAAGTAGGGTGTTAATTATTTTTAAATGCAGAAGAGGAAACTGATCCATACAGGCTTCCAACGAAGCAGAATCTGAGGATGGCATTATATTGGTTAGTACAAGGTTGTCAACCTGGTGATTCTCTGTTGTTTCACTACTCGGGTCATGGTTCGCGGCAGAGGAATTACAATGGTGATGAAGTTGATGGGTATGATGAGACTCTATGTCCTTTGGATTTTGAAACACAAGGGATGATTGTCGATGATGAGATCAATGCAACTATTGTTAGACCTCTGCCTTATGGGGTTAAGCTTCATGCAATGATTGATGCTTGCCATAGTGGAACGGTATTGGATTTACCATTCCTTTGTAGAATGAACAGGTTAGTTGCTATTTAACATGCTTATACATCATTGATTCATGATTGGGATTCCGAAGTAATTTTGTCAGAATTGGAACCTCTATTCTTTAGAGGACAAATTCATTTTACACTGTTTGATGAAGGGAGGAAAAAGAACTGGAAAGGACCTAGCTATGGTCCATCTGAAGTGGGTCTTGGGAGGGGTGATCTAGAAACTTTTCCTACACTTTGGCATTTTTTATCGTCAACTATGCTGTTTTATATCCTCTGGAAGTTGATGCCTTATCTTGGACACAGGTCTGGACAGTATACATGGGAGGACCATCGTCCAGCATCAGGTTTATGGAAGGGAACAAGTGGTGGAGAAGTAATTTCCTTTAGTGGTTGTGATGATCATCAAACCTCTGCTGATACATCTGTAAGTCTCAGAAAATTTGATTAGATCTTTTGAAATTTTAGTCCTCACGGCATTTTAGATCTCAAAAACTGAAAAATATTTTAATGCTTTGGGGAGCAGGCTCTATCAAAGATTACATCCACTGGTGCCATGACATTCTGCTTCATCCAAGCCATTGAGCGTGGGCATGGGGCTACATATGGGAGCATTCTCACTGCAATGCGCAATGCAATTCGAAGTGTGGGGGGTGGTGACATTGGTGGTGGTGGTGCTGTTACGTCCCTCATCACCATGCTTTTGACAGGAGGTAGTGTTGGTATCGGTGGTGGGCTGAGACAGGTAGGGTTTGCTTGATTAATTTATTCATACCTCTCTGTTTCTCATACTTATCAAGTTAATTTTCCTTTGGTTGATTATATTCAACTCAAAACATACCCCACACACACACACAAATACAGTGAAACATAAATGCAAACATCATTTAGGCTTCTTAGGATAAATCAGGAGAAGCTGCCAACATTGAGCCTTCTAATTTACAAAAAATTTGAAGATAATATGTGATTGAGGACTTTCTGACTTTTATCTTTTGTGTTTTTATTGTTTCACAGGAGCCCCAGTTAACAGCCTGCGAGCCATTTGATGTATATGCAAAACCTTTCTCCCTTTGATTCTTTCCTTTTATATAATTTTTGATTCATGCTGTTTGTAGATTGACTTTATTTATATATGTAGACAAGGGGATGAATTTCACTATTGATACATGTTTCTTTATTTAGTACAATTTTGGTATATTATCGTCCCAATACTGGAAATTCCATTTAAAGAGTGAATCAAAGATTGCTTTAAATATAAAGTGGTGAAGCCATGCTTAATTTCTCAACTTGGAAGCCTCAGATCAAACTTTGAAGCCTTATGCACCAATGGCGTTCAACATAATGTCCTCAGTTTCAGTTCTTTGAACAACGTTTCAAAGTTTTAAAACTTGTAAGATAATCTTCGTTTACAAGTGAATCTATAATCATGAAGATTTTGGGACTAAAGGTGAATGAAAAAAAATAACAGACCCTTCCTTTATTGCTTCTCAAAAGAAACAAGGCACAATGGTTTCTTTGACAGGGTGTATTGATGCGGTGACAGAGGCAAAAGATTTTCATTTTGCAAGTTCCTGGCCATGGCTCAGGTACCTCAGGCAAAGGATCTTGATCTTGCCATTACAAAGAGCTTCGATATGATAACAAATAAGATGAAGATGCAGATGCAGTATAGGCACTAGGAAGGAAAGAGCAAGTTGCCGCAGGGAGTTACCAATTTTGGATGCTCAATTTGATCTTTCATAATTGCAGTGAATATTTCCAAGAAATAATATTAAAACATGGCCAAGAAGAAACCCATATGTAAATCCCCACCCACCCACGCAAAAATATTTTCGCAAATTGACATGGTACCCCTAGAGCCACTAGGCATGAATTTCTTCTAACGAAATACAAGGAGCATCATTATCCTCTAAATAAAATTTTCTAATATGCTTGACCTGTTAGGATCTGGTGGCCGAAAGTCCTCCAAACGCAGATTGGAACTTGATCGAATTTCATTTAAGAAGGTTTCTCCTTTCTCTGTTTTAATTATCCCCAGGGTGCTTCCGAGAACATCCCCAGCAAGCCCGATTTCTAGAAGACGCCCTGGCTCCTCTCCGCCATCATATATTAAACGTCCAATCTCCCTCAGGGAGATCACATTTTCAATGATGACTTTGGTAAAAATCCGACCAAGAAATTCTGCAGCTCTCGGGGCATCATTCATAGCATCCTCCAATGCGCTGAGAACAGATTCCAACCTGAACAAAAGAACAAAATAATGAAAACGCATAAATATAATGACTTCAAAGGGTTATAATCAATCAGTAAATGTTGCTAAATGATTCTCATACCCTTTAACGAGTTGAACTTGGCTCAACACACCATCACGAGACCTTGTCAGATTAACAAGTAGCTTGGCCAAAAGATCCCGTTCCATGTCTTTCCTCTCAAAAGAGTCTGTTACCCACAGAGCAATCATTGTGGGATGGAAGCTTGGGGAATTCAAATCCTTGATGCACAAAGCAACTTCTTTCTCGTCTCTAGCACTATAAGAATTAAAAGAGAAAAATGCTAAGTACTCGATAAAAGTAACCAAGTAATAACCCTTTTCAGGATTTGCACATGTTAAATGTAGTCAGAATATTAGACTACCCATCCATAAATTTGATATTTCAGATACTAAGCCAACCATCAGTCAACAACCCTTTTCAAGAGTAGTTTTATAATTCAATTTTCTGCTGATGACTAAAAGTAGAGTGCATGTATAGGTCCAGATGCAAATGTATGTGTGGCTGTGCATGTATTACATATATATTTATGGCAATTACAATGGCTAGTATATGGGACACTAAAATCACACTTGAGACAAGAGGATACCTGTAAAATTCTTTAATTGCTGCCATGGACATATCCCGCAGGCGCTCCTCAGGCCAGCTCTTTTCTGGAGGAATATTTTGAGTGACACCTGATGTTTGGCCTCGTGCAGGTGGTGAAGCTGCAAGAGGTCTATCAAAACTACGATCTGGGCTCCTCAAGTCCCTATGACCAAAATTTGTGCCACGTTCCTGGGAACTCAACTGGTCATAAGCAGCTGGTGCTGCAAATCTATCTGTCACATATCTTGGCATGAGATCCTCTCTAGAACCATAACTAGTTCGCTCTGATACAGAACTGAAACCATTCAAACCAGCACCCATTCTTCTTGAATCTCCTGAAGTTGGAGAAACATCAGCTAATTGAGCACTGGAAATTGCTGGTGGTCCTCTAAAAGACATTCCTCTAGCAAGACCACCCTGGGGGCCCAAAGTAATAGAATCATCACCAATCGGTCTTTGAGGCAAGGGAACTGACAAAGCCCTAGCCTCAAAAGACTGTCTTTCATCCATGCGAACATCCTGAGCCCCAAAACCACGGAGCTGGTTTGGCAACCCACGGAAACTACCCATCTGAGCACCTGGGGAAGATAACATAGAGCCTCGCGGACCAAAATCCATAGGTGCTCTTCTTGCAGCAGGATTGATGCCAGGACCACGAGCAAGCCTACTGGCTTGTGCTTGTCGCTCTTGAGCAGCATCTCTGTGCACTTCCTCGATCTTTTTAGGCCCTTCAACTTTCCTCCTCTGCTGCCATTTATTCTTTCTCAGATCAATAGCATCCTTCAACATAAACCTAACCCTAGAAGATAGTTTCATATTGTTCGACAACTTTGCCATCCTCTCAAAATAAGCATCCATATACACCTTTGCTTTGGGATGGTCAATCATGTCTCCAATCGTACTCATTAATTTACACAAAGCCTCAACATCTTCCTCATCAGGATTCTCATATTCACCAAGTAATTTCTTGATGCATTCATGCATAATTCTCTCAGTTAACATTTTCTTCTTGTACAACTCCCCAATAAGTCTAATATTACCCAACATTCGTCTCCGTGCCTTGATTCTCTTCTCCTCTCTTTCCTCCTCAGACTGTTTAGCCTCACCCTCTTCCTCAACTTTATTAGCTTCTTCTTGCTCTCTCTCCCCCCTCTCAAATTCCTCCTGGCACTTGTTCAGCAGCAATCTCTTGAACGTAATCTTTTCATTGTCTTCACTAAAATCAGGCAACTCTCCTGCCAGATAATAACAGAAGTTTGCATACATTTCACAGAAAGTAGGCTCCATCAAAGCTTTGTCAAAGATCTGTGAGATGACACCAGTGAGTGTAACTGCATTGTCAATGTTTACTGCTTTTACTTGCTCAAAGAGTTTTTCAAAGTTTTGGGGAGTTAGTTTGTTCAAAATGGCTTTCAGTTGCCTCTGCTTGGCTTCTTCCTCATCTGCCACTCTACCCACTTCATATTTCTTTTCAGCTTTGTGCATGATCTGTAATGGGGTTTGGGGAGAAGGAATCAACCCCTTTTGCTGATAGTTAGTACCACGTGGCCACCTGTCAGCATCAGGACTATTTCGTGGCATCCCTCCCTGTGGACCCATAGATTGCATTGGCCCAGCAAGGATCCCTCCAATATATGGCATAGGTGTTTGTGCACGTGGATGCCTTAGAACACCAAAGTTACCTCCATGGCCAGGCCGAAAACCTGCAGCAGCACCATAACCGAGATCAAGATGCAAATCCCTTCCTGGGCCAAAAGATTTAACCCATCTGCCATCATCAACAATTCCACTAGCACGGCGGTCCAATCGAGATCCACTAGGTTGCCTGTCTATTACTCTTCCAGGACTAGGATATGAATCACGATCAACAAGGTGAAAAGCATTGACATTGGCAGTCATCAAGGCCTCTGAAATATCAGAAGCTATCTCAAATCCCTGTGGAAGATCAGTACACTGCTCTGCAAACTTAAGGAGGAAATCTCTGGAATACTTCTTTGCCATATTCCCACTTCCATCTTTCTCATGATCTACTAAACCTCCATGGACCTTTTCGCCATTATCTGAAGTTTCTAACTTTGGTGTAGACATGTCAGCAGCATCTTCCCAATCATCCGGTTCAGCTTTATTCGGTGCAATTTTCTCACTTTCTATGGCATCCACCTGAGGGGCCTCATGAGATGCCTGCTTATCACTAATGGAATTGCTTTCTGCACTTGCTGAAGGTATGACTGTCTCTTTCTTTTCCTCAGGACCTTTATATGCCATATAGAGATCAGAAGTTGTCCCAGCAGCATCGGCTTTCAGAAGACATTCTTTTCTTTTTTTCTTCCCTTTAATTGAAGTACTCTTTGTCCTACTGAGTTCTGGCACAGGCTTGTCCCTTGAACCAGGTACCGGAACACCTTCCCCTTCACATTTTGAAGTTGATTCTGGGAGATATGGAGTTGGGACAGGAGCAGATTGCTGGTCTGATGCACTAGATTTAGTAACAGTGATCTCATTGCTACCAGTGGCAGTTGAAGAACCATCTGAACTCAAAGTCATATCAACATGATAACCTTCAACATCTGTAGGGTCAGCAATTCCAGAGGTAGAGACATCTACACTGTCAGTGACCCTCTCATTTTCTATGTTAAACCCCACATCTTCACCAAGCACCCCCTGTGCAGTTCCTGAGGTTGGAACATCATTGTTGGTAGACTTCAAGGCAGGTTCATGATCAGACTTAAGCTCCATAGGTTTCAATGGAACTGGTTGAGAAGGAAGCTCAAGGCTAGCGTTGTCCCTTAAGTGCTTTTCAGTCAAAATTTTTTCCTCTTCATCCTTAATTCCACTAATTTCAGGTTTTGGTTGCTCATCCAGCTTGGAAGAACCATCTATCCTAGCATGCTGAACCATGTCCAAGCTATCAACATTACTGCCAGTACCAGGAACTTCAGATGAAACTGAGGTTAAGCCTTCTCTTTTGCTGTCTGTCTTCTGTTCTACGTAAGAAGTTGAAGCATCATTAAATGATGGTAATTCCCTGGTAGATTGTGACAAAACATCAGTAGCTGCAGATGATGCTACAGCTGTTTTAGCCTCCACAGTTTCAGAAACTGCACTGTCTGAGGAAATACCAATGTCTGCAGTGGGGGAAGCCAAGTTGGATGTTGACGTAGACTGTCCACCAATCAACAATAAGTAAAGGAACAGATAAATACATGCAAACAAAACATTACATGTGCAACAAAAACTGCAGAAGGAAAACACAAGGAAAATACCTGATTTTGTGGCTGAATAAGTCCTTTCTTGCCTGGTTTCTTCTGATAATCTTTCATAGAGTTTGACCTACTCAAACTCTCCTTCCTTCTGCCTTCATTACTGGCAACAACGGGCATAGACTCCTCCGATGTAGCAGCTGAAACAGAAGATACAGAATTAGATGGCAAGCTCTCGTCCAAGTTAGTTGCTGGAACTCCCCCCGAATGTTTAGATGCCGCCGGTAACGACTTGCATGTCAATGATTCATTTCCAGGTTTAGCCTGCTGTACGGAGCTCTCTGGACAAGTATCCAAGTCCCTTTGAGACTGAGATGAGCTAACCTCACTAGCTGGCATCGAAGGTTTTATTGACCCAACCTTTTCAAGAGCCAGCAAGCTACTTGACAAAGAGGAATCTGCAACCTTTTCTCCCATAGAAACAGTAGATGGCTTAACAGTCACCTGTGCTGTACCTGAGGAAGCAGAGGATTTCACATTGTGTGCATCACGTGAAAGTTCCACATTTGGTGGTTCCGAAGTGCCATGTGCAAGATTTACAGATTTATTAACTTGTGGTGAACTATGGGCTGCCGCTGAATTTATGAAAGATATGTTTTGATGACCCTGGCTAACAGTATAGTTAAATCTCGGCCCTTGGGAATTGGGAGTTATCTGGCTACTAGACAATGGCAGAGAACTTGGCGGTGGATAAAACATGGAATTGGGATTATAAGAATTGGAAAAATAGTTAATTGAATGAGAAGGTGCAAAAGATGGAATTGGCTGCGATTGAGAAGGCACATTAGGATGAGACCTTGGACCTGATGACCCACCATCAGAATATGTATCTGTTCGTTTATCAAGCCTTAGTTCTTCATGCGTGTCTGGGTGAGTAATCTTAACAGGAGTGGTTTTACGAGGAACCCCAAACTTCCCTCCCTGTGGCTGAGAATACTGAGGGGCCATGCCCATTCCCAACTGGGGAGCAAGCTGTCCACCCATGGGTGGTGTGAAACTCAAGCCCTGACCCTGATGCATCATTCCCTGAGGTGGCAGTGGATGAGCCTGAAGACCTGGAACAAAGACTTGCTGCTGTACCTGAGGTGCATTTCCCATAGGTAATGGCATATGCATCGGCATTTGAATTGAAGTAGCAGTAACACTCTGAGACTGAATCTGTTGATTAGGCCCACCAAACTGCATGGAAACCTGGGGCTGGTGATGAAATGGCATCTGCATAGAAGTCATGGGCATATTAAGAAGGGAAGGCTTCTGTGCCAGGTTTGCAGGGGATGCCACAGAGGCTTGTGCATCTTTTTTGACCTTGGGCACCGGATGAGGCTCCCCCGAATTAGATTGGTCAGCTGCAACTGAATCCTTTCTTGGTAACTGGTGTTTAGGGATGGGAGCAGGCAAATTTGGTACAGATCTAAAAGAAGAATCATGGCGTGCCTGCAGGTTTAAATGTCGATCATATGTAAGTGAATTCCTAAAAGACCCCAAAACTATATCAGTTAGAAAGCATCAAGATGGTGAACATGAGAAACCAGAAATTAAGATGGGCCTAAACATGTCAAGCTCAGATTTTACTTAGGTTCTTCAAGATGTTCAGTTTCTTAATATTTGGAACCGCAACCAGGGTGAGCAAAAGGAAGCAATCTTTTAGTTTTATGAGGCATAACATTTCATGGTTCTTGAAAATTAAACTAGATGAAGAAGGACAATCACTAGGTCTTATGATCCACTAATCTCTGTATCTTTTAAATTTTGGTTAAAAAAGAAAAAGAAGAAGAAGAAGGATGAGGTGCAAAAACATCCACAGATAGCGTACAGTTCATGATAAGAGCCAAACCTGATCACGTTTCTGCTCATCCAAATTTGGGGGTGCTGAGCTAGTCCGTGCTGGAATCTACATAAGAACAAGGATATAACATTTGCTGTTAGAAAAAAAAGGTTTTGAATGGAAAAAAGATAAGAGTAGGAATATGAGAATAGTAAAATACCTGCATTCCATTCATGAAACCAGGACTTATGGACCCAAATTGCAAAGAGAATGCTTTGGATGCATCTCCTGGAGTTAATCAGACAAAAAAAATTAGTCACATCATCTTAGAGCTAGAAATAACTATCACAGTAAATAAGCATTGAAAATATTATACATCATTTATAATTACTAAACTGAAAAACCCCCAGTTTTCTCATAATTGAAGTAACTTTGATCCTAGAATCATATTACACCAAGCACAACAGAAACATACCTTTTGCGGGGGTTGTGGGAAAACTACCATCAGAACTCATGGCGGCAGATTGAGAAGTTGGAGCCTTTGGAACAGCTCGGGTGCTTCTCTGAGTGGCAGGCGATTCAACTGGCTTGGCAGCACCGCTTGCAACCGGTGCATCAGATGCTCCTATCAGAAAACATTAGCACAAACGCAAATAACAAGAAGATAATCCTCTTTTCTTTGATTAAAAATCTATAAAGTGAAACAAGCTAAAGAATTTCGAATCATACCCTGTAACTGGGGCAGTACATGTGCACCATTCTGTATGTTTCGGGCGGCAGAAGCATTAGTAGACTCCGAAGGATTCACAGCCGGTGAATTTACCCTAGATTGCCCTCCTTGTGCATTGTTAGACTTCCTCAAACTATCGTCTCAAGACCACGCAACAAAAAAAAAACATCATCAATACATGAAATCGCATAGAAACCCTAAATAAACTGGCAATCAAACAAAAAGAAAAAATAAGGCAAACCCTAAAGCCTAGAGCCCGATGATGAGTTGTCGTTACCTTCGATTGGAAGATAAAGAAGAAGACGAGGAAAGAGACGGTGAAGGGGCGGGCCCGCCGCCAGCGCCCTTACCGTAAGCGCCTGAGGAGGTCCGCTGCTGATTAGAGCTGGCGGATCGCCCGGATTTTCGGTATTGTTGCTCGCTTTTATCGGACCTTGGTTGATTGAAGGACATATATCCCACCCTTGATTCCTCCTCCTATTTCCCTCCTTTTTTGTTCTTCTTTTTATCTCTGCATCCAAACAGATCCCCAAAAAAAAAACCAAACCTCAACAAATCATAGCATTTTCACAACACCGCAATGAGTATTGCACCAACAACAACAACATCAACAAAAAATCAGGGTTCGATCAGCGGAAGTGTGTACCTGTGAACTCAAAAGAGTGTGCAGAGAGACAAGAAAGAGGGAGAAAGTTAGGGTTTTTTATTGGGTGGTCACGTCGATATACGCAGCAGCAAAAGACGCAGCAAGGAAAAAAATAAAAATTTTTAAAATTTTCTCTTTCATAAGAGAAACAAAAGCCCCCAAAATATTTGTCAAAATAAAATAAAAATAAAAATAATTAAAATGTTGGAAGAGAGAGAGAGTAAATTAGGTAACAAACTGTCGAGCAAGGTGGTCAAAAGGTAGGTTTTTTAGGAGATCGAAGCATCGAACGAGTCGTGGCTCATTTGAGTTTAGTGAACAGAGAACTCTTCGCTTTCGCTCCGATCTTTTTTACCGCCCCTCATTTTTATACTCTTTTCCTTTCTTTTGGTTTTTTACTCACCGACCCTGCTTCTTTTACTTTTCACCCTCTTTTCTTTTCTTTACCCCCTTTCACCCCCTCCCTCCACGCGCCGCCGGCGTTGGTTGTGGAATGTGGAGGGTTGGGTGATCGGAAAGGTTGCTTTTGGGAAAATAGAGCTTGTAGAGGGTAATTATTATTTTAGTCTCCAAAATATTTGTTTTTTCCAAATTAATTTTATTAAAAAATATTGGATTTTTTAATATAAAATTAAAAATTTAAGAGTCTAAAAAGGGGAAAAATTAAAATTTACTTTGTTTGTTGCCTTTGCATTTATTATTGCATCACCCAAAGTAAAAGACCAAAAAATTAAAGTATGAATTGAGACTTTCCATTGTTTTTTGGGTTTTTTTTTTAATTTAAGTATTTCTAATTATTTTAATTTCACATGACAAATGCATGATAAGTCAAAAGAGGAATATATGTCTTGAATTAATAGTTGCAAATCCCATGTGTCATTGACCATGAACTTTCTTAAGCCAAAAAAATAAATAATTAAATAATTTTTTATACCATTTAATACTTATTTATTAATAATAAAATTGAGAAATTTCATATGAGTTTACTTATAATTTTTTTTAAAAAAAGTACCTAATTTTATTACTAACAGTCAAAATCAAGATTGATTTTGGTTTTTTATGATTACAAGAAATAATAAAAATGCATTAAAATCTTTAAATAATATTATTTATTTTTCCTTTATTTTTAATAGAAAACCTAACTAACTTGATGCAAGTAACTCACCTAACTTTAATAATTCCTCTCTTTCTCTATTTCTTTAATTTTATGTGAAAATTAATTGAATTTTTCTTTATATTTACATGAACTACAATACTAGTATTTATTTAATAAATGACTTATTTATTTACAACAAAAAAAAATGAAATACCTAAACTTTATTTAAATTCCACTATTCCAACTATACCAATGATAAAACCAAGTTGCAAACCAACCATTTTTTTTTTAATGAATGCATTATCAATGCTTAGATCATGATGCTTGTTATGGAAACAATATAATTATCATTTATGATTTTTATTCTCGGTTTCATGCTTGATAGATTTTTTTTTGTATATTTAAAGTGTGAATTTATATAAGTTGATTTAGTTTTATTTCATTATAAAAATGGGTTTATCTAATTTGATCTTGATAAAAAGATAACATTATAGATAAAGTTTATGAAGATACTTATACACTCTTTGTTGAAAGTGCCAGGGACCTCTAATTTGCTGTCATTGCAATAGCTGAACGTTGGATGTAAGGCATTCAGGCCTGAACTACACAAAAAAATGGCTTGTAACATAGATCAGTGCTGAAACTTCCCAGATTGGAAAACTCAACATCTAGCCTTGAAGTAAAGGGTAGGAACACAATAGCAGCACCTGCGTGTAGATTCAAGAAGGCAAACTTGTATTGGTGTAACTTTTGATACAAAGTTACCAAGAAGCAGCAGAGAACTCCTGACTCCTTGAGTACAGGAGAGTGTTGAGATACAATCCAAGAAGCTCCAGTTGCAAGCACCAGTGCTCATCAGAAGAATGCTCACTCTGCCACAATATGCATTATTTCCTAGTTTGGAGATTTGGGTAGAATTGATAATAGTTTCCATGGAAACAAAACCCAAGCAAGATCAAGCTAAAGCAAGTAAACCAGTTCCATCCCAATCCAGCAAAATGTTTGGAAAACAGAACAAGAAGAACCCAAAGCTTGCAATCAACATGTCATGCTATAAATTGAGAGACAACTTGAAGTTGAACTGTCTGTGGCACTGATCCTAGTGTCAATTGGCTACCTGGGAGTAAACGCAAAATCTGTTTCCATCATAGTGCCAAAGAACCTGAATCTTTCCACTAAGTTTAACTCTTTTGGATGGTAGTGAGCTTGTCATGCAGGACCATTTTCATCCAATTATCTTCAGGAACTGCAACAGAATTCTCTTCTTTGCTTATCAGTTTCCTTGGTTGAAGGGAACACAAACGACAGTGTGAATGTGACAAAGAAAATAACATTGGGTTTATAGGATTGAATCATCATCTCTGTTAAGTGAAATGGGCAAAGATTTGGGCTGATGATGACTAAAGAATAAGTCAGCCATAAAAACTAGGCCAGGATCAGCCCATCAAGACCATTTGGGTCATTTCAACTGACTTTAGCCCATTATTAGAACACAAAAGGATCCGAACCTAATTGTGCACCCGTAATGAATATTATAATCGGATATCTTACATCATTCGACGAGATCATGAGGCTCCCGAAGAAGAAGGGAAGAGGATTTTTGGTGGTGCGTGGTTCAACGAATGGAGAGCATTGAAAAATGGTAGGTTGATTGAGTATAATACTCTTTGGTTTGCTACCCTTGGGATTCTTAATTATATTTTTTTATATTATCATAAAAGCGTGTTACTAATATTTGTGATTAAAAATTTAATATTATATGATAAATTCACATGAAGGACATTTGAAGAATAAAGATAAATTTATTACTTTTGTAGAAGTTTGTGAACCATGGTGTTGAAGAATTAATGAAATAACGTAACAATTGGTATGAAATTGAATACGACATTTATTATATGAATAAAAATAATTATTATTATTATTTGGTTAAAATCATGATTTGTGTATATATAAATAAAAAAATAAATGCGTCCAATGTTGTGAAGTGGTCCATGCATGGGAGGAGGGATAGGCTAGTGTGTAAGCATAGTATTTTTTATTCAAATCTTATATTAATATAATAAAAAAATAAAAACCTAGTTATATACATTTATGTAATTTAACTTAAATCAAATTGGATAGAACAAATCCGTACAGATTTAAAATATAAAGTCGAGAAAAGTCACAGTTAGAGTGATAATTAGGAGCTTTAATGTAAGAATTAGAGCTGATTATCTGATCTAATCTTTGATTTGCAACCTCGACAAATGACAGCCAGCCACATGTCTCAATGGGAATGAATGCCAAATCTAAAGTGGTCCTCACTCTATCTCCCTCGTGTCAACCGCTCGTGAGCGCTGTTGAAGGCATGTCACGTTGCCTTCCGGTCCATGTCCATGTCTGTACCAGGTTCGTATTTGCTATTCTATTTTAAACACTGAAGAGATTTATGTCTTAAAGATTTAAAAAAAAAAAAAACAAAGTAGCAGGGCAAGACGAAAGAAGGGTCAAATTTTGGTGCCTCCTCTGTTTTATAGCCTATTTTGGTGTTATTGCAAAATAAAGATTAAAGCATAGATAATTAATCCATAGCACTAAGCATAGATTAAGGTAGTTCAATCAATTCTTCTAACTCTTTTAACAATACCATCAAATCAAGATCGGGCTTTTATGATCTTTTATTATCATGATATAGTAACCTGTTATTGTAAACTTTGCCATAGCATTTTTTTTTGTTATAATGATATTATGATATGTAATTAGTTTCATAAGATTTTTAATATCGAATATCTATTAAAGTGATAATTGCAAAGTATATTATTTTCGTGTATGTGTGTGAGTGATTAAGATTTAACATGTCAATAATGGAATCACAAGGAAATTAAAAATTTGAGAACACCCAAACTGAGTATCATGATTTGTTGTTAGAAAATTGAGATATCAAAATCATCTTGGGCAATAGCTGATTGGCATCCCAGAAAAGGGAGGTCTTTTTCTGGTTTTCTAGCTTCCTTTTCCTCAAGCATCACCACTTTAGATTTTAAGGTAATCTTTTCACTTTTTAAACTGTCAAATGTGGAGATCTTAGTCCAAGAACATTCAACTTCTCGGATCCTAAAAAAGGGTGTTTGGGGATTACGAACTTAAAAATGCCAGCAATGGAGAGTTGTTAGATTGGATCCCCTTTTCTTAACCTTTTTCTTTTCAAACTTTGGTTCATTTCAAGTTTCAAGGTTTATGCTCTTCCTTTGTAAAATTTCATTAGGGGGCAGGGCAGGCAGGTACCAAACTGACGTTTGAATTAAGTTGGCATGCAAATTGGCATTAAAGAAAGCCACGAGAAGAAGAACAGAACAGAAGGGGCAACAAAGGTTGATCCTTTGTCGTTTTCAAAGTGGGTCCCTCTTTGTTTTGTGGTTATTAAATCCATGTTACAGGGAGGAAGGTCTAGAAAGTCAGACGGAGTACTTAGTTACGGTTGGGAAGTAGAAAGACCACTTTTTTTTATTATTTAAAGTTTTAATCTTTGCCGGTCAGCCTAGAAAACTGACTTATCTGAATTTCAACTCGTTGAATTCTTCAATCAGAAACAGTTGTTTGTGTCAAACAGTCCAAGCCAACCCAATACCGAATCATCAGCTTTTCGAAGGACAAACAGAAAGAAAAGCTTTGCAAGTAAACCAAATGCAAGATCTTTCTTCATGGAACCCTCCCAAACCCTGGTAGAAACCATGAAAACCCTCTGCTATCTCTCTCTGTCTCTCTCTACCACCTTCAACACAGGCTTTCGAACTTCCATTTCCGTGTTTACTTTTGCTGAATTCTCTGTTGACATCTTGTTTCCTCAATTGGGTTTTGCTTAATTTTGTCCTCATCCCCTTCTTGCTTTGCTTTTTTCTCTGTATAGTTGACGGCCTTTTTCTTTGCTTTCTTTTCATTGCTGCCATATTTGAATTTCTTGGTCGAATTCCTATTGCTAGTCACCATTCTCCTTCCCTTCCGCTTTTCATTTCTTATGTCTCATTTAAGTTTACTGATTCAATCACGCGTTCTTCTGTAGATTTGTCTAGTGTGGAGTCAGCCGCTGTCCCAAGATCACATTTAAATCCCAATAAAGAACTGCTCTTCAGCCTGTGAAATTTTCATGTAATGAAGTGTTTTCAGTATTTCAACTACAAGTCTAGAAGCAGGGGACAAGATCAGCCCCAGAGTTGAAAGAAGAAAGGGAGAAATCAGGGAATATTCAGGAGGACCTGATCGGATCACAAAGTCCTCATGTTCGGCAGCTTCTCCGCGTAGCATACCGGAGTTGTACGAAGAAAAAGCTCATAACTTGCGGGTCTTCTCTTTCTCAGAGCTTAGGCAAGCCACCCATGATTTCAGTTTGCTACTCAAGATTGACGAAGGCGGCTTCGGAGCGTCTATAAAGGTGCGATCAAGCCTGTTGATGGAAAGGGTGAGCCTGTGGTGGTTGCTATTAAAAAGCTCAACAAGAATGGCTTGCAGGTTTGTCCTCTTGCCTCTTGCTCTGTTTGTGTACATGGAAAATCCCCCGCACCCCCCCCCCCCCCCCAACCCGCCTCGATCTGCATGACAACTTGTTTAGTTTTTGGAGATCTTGATGATTTTAAGTGTTTCTCAGAGTTTTTTCTTCCTCTTTAGTCCTTATAAAAGTACTCAGGATACCTTCTGCAATTGTTTGGGCAATTATCTTGGCTGGTTGCCCTTGCTGACAGTATCCTGAAGACCGTGTGTTTGAATTTTGCTTGCTCCTGTTTGTTCTATTTCCATGTACTTCACCACAACATTGATTGAACATATAATTGTATTGGCTTAACTGCAATGCCTGCTTCTTTTTGAAGTTCATACTTACTTGTCAGAGTTGCAAAAGGTTCAATAGGAGTGCTTGACAGCTACCATAAAGTATGCCGTACATTTTTTCCAAGCACATTGATTGAACATATAATTGTATTGGCTTAACTGCAAATGCCTGCTTCTTTTTGAAGTTCATGCTTACTTGTGAGAGTGGCAAAAGGTTCAATAGGAGTGCTTGACAGCTACCATAAAGTATGCCGTACTTTTTTTTCCAAGCTTCTGATTTGTCAAAGCATTTCTTAACCCTTTAAGTTCCAGTTTTGCTGAAGAGGAAAACGGAGGAGAAAACTGTTGCCTTCAACCTTTCTTGTCCTTTGTGTTTGATCAGCAAGAAAGGACTAATTAGTTTCCTGCAGACCAACACTACCATTCAAAATCAAATCTGCAATTTCACGAGTGCTGATTTCTTTACCCTACTCATCCTGCCATACAGTGAGATTTTCATCTTACTTTTCGTGGAAGCTGCTAGTTGATATAGTAATGTAAACTTAATACTGCTAGTTTTGACCTAAAAGGAAAAATGGACTGTTGATTGTGCTTAGTAGTCAATTATGGCATAAGATAATGAGAAAAAAAGAAAAAACATGTTATGCATTGCAAGATCAATCCTCTCTCCCCCATCTACAGGATTTCTGTCTCCTTTTGACAAGAAAACTTGTTAATATCACCCTCATTCCCCTTCTTGATTGGTAATTGAGAGGATAAAAGGTTTTTCATTGCTATGAACTGTTGTTTCATAGTTCTGTTTGATCCATATAGGGACACAAACAATGGGTGGCGGAAGTCCAGTTTCTTGGTGTTGTTGATCACCCCAATCTCGTCAAACTCATAGGATACTGTGCTGTTGATGGAGAAAGAGGAATCCAGCGTCTTCTGGTATACGAGTTTATGCAAAATAAGAGCTTGGAGGATCATCTTTTCCGGCGTGCATACCCTCCTCTTCCTTGGAAAACAAGATTGCAGATAATACTCGGAGCAGCGGAAGGATTAGCTTATCTGCACGAAGGTTTAGAAGTTCAGGTTCCTTTTTAAACACTAACTATGCATTTCTGTTTTCTTACATATAATATGATAGAACTCCAACATTTTGAACATAAAACATACCCTTTGCTTAGCTGATCCTGAATATACGGTTGTCTGCATGTTATCTTCAGAATTTGAATCTATGGTTCTTTGTGCTTAATCTCTGGTTTCATGATATGCAAGGTGATATATCGAGATTTCAAAGCCTCCAATGTGTTATTGGATGAGAACTTCAATCCAAAGCTTTCAGACTTCGGGCTAGCAAGGGAGGGGCCGATGGCTGGGCGTACACATGTTTCGACAGCCGTTAGTATTCTCTGTGCTTTCTTTAAATCCTATTACAGACCTATTACAGAGCTGCTGATGGTAACAAGGTTTATGTTTTTCTGATCAGGTAGTTGGGACTTATGGTTATGCTGCTCCTGATTACATTGAGACAGGACATCTCACGTATAAGAGTGATGTTTGGAGTTTTGGGGTGGTATTGTATGAGATTCTTACAGGCAGACGTTCATTGGAACGAGGCCGCCCGAAAGCAGAGCAGAAACTCCTGGAATGGGTGAAACAGTTCCCTGCTGATAGCAAAAAGTTCAGCTCAATAATGGATCCTCGTCTTGAAAACCAGTTTTCAACAGCTGCAGCTCGAGAAATTGCTAAGTTAGCAGACACTTGTTTATTAAAAAGTCCCAAGGACCGGCCGAAGATGAGTCACGTGGTAGAGAGGTTGAAGCAGATAATCCAAGTTTCAGATGATGGAAATGATCGGGGGAATGAGAGTCCTGAGGTACCTGAAATTGAACTGGCTGAAACAGAATCGAACTCAAATCAATTTGGTGTCTCGGAATCATGGAAAAGGCGGATGGCACACCTTGCAAAACTGGGTGAGCATGTAGAAGGTGCAAGTAGAAGGAGATTGATGATGTTGCAGAGAGCCAAAGTGCCATGAGTTCTCTCTCTTTTTTCTCTTTTCCTCCTCTCCCCTCCCCCCCCAAACCAGCCCTCTCTCCCCATTTGTCCTTAAACTTCTAAAGATGTGTTACTGTAAGACATGAGACCTTTTATAGAGGGCCAGTTCCTGGAATGGATATTATCAAATTGTGCCTGGGCTTTGGCCTCCATGTACAGTAATCAAGAAAAAGAAAAAAGAATAGAAAACCTTGGTATTCCCCCTTTTTTCTTATTGAAAAAACAAAAGTATACATATTTCGTTTATTTTGGGATTCCCCTACAAGGTATTGATGTTTCTATCCCAATATATAGCTGTCCTCCCCCAGGTTCATCATTTCTGCTGTTTGGGCAAAAATCATTCAACATAAACTATAATGTGAAACCTTGAACTTTGGAGAACCAAGCTACCAGAATATACCTTAGAATGTCCATGGTTTATTTGGTTTTGTCAACGTGCATAGCTCCGACAAGTTGCTCCAGCAAAGTCAAACTTCCCCTGATGAAAATGCCATTTGCAGTCACCACCAAGCAGAAGGTGAGCATCTTGTTGTGTTAGCCACCCATCAAGCTTCAGCTATGCAGTATGATTTGCGTTTTTCGTCTATTAAAATAATGTGATCCAATGATTTCAACTCATCCGCTCAACATAAACATCTGCTCCTAAACTGAAGAAGGAACTACCGTGGCTAACTGACCTGCCAATGTGGGCAGTGCAGTCATGGTTGAAAAATTGAGAGCCATCACTTGGAAATGAAAAACAATCATCCAAGATATCTACAATGCTAATGCTTGAACTACAATAACAACAGTCATCTGAATTTGCATTAGCTGCAAAAGATCCACCAGTCATAAGATGCGGCACTTACAGCTTAATGAAACTATTTAGCTTAATTTCTAATAAAAATTTACTGCAAATAGGTAAGCCACATTACAAATAACAATATACGATATCCTAATTAACCATAACTTGGAATATAAAGAGAAAGATCTTGCTCAATTAGTGCGCCAAGTGTGAAGTCAACTGTATCAATAAATTAATCTGTACGGAAACTTGTATAACACAGAAATTCTTTCACATTTATAGTTGATTAGATTGCATCAAAAAACAAGTATATTCCATAGTTTCGAAAACAATAATACCAACAGTGCAAAAAAAATCAAAATTTTGGTGATTATTATGTTCTTAAAAGATCAGAGAAGTCAATGGTTAACTAAAGCCTGAGGACACTAAAAGGTTGCTATATTAAAAGCATTTTGATGCGTCCACATAATGATGGAAAATTGGAAGCAAACAGAAACGTAACCCATCAAGGGTCAACCCTACTGTATTCACAAGACACGGTGTTGGTAATATAAGATACTTACCATGTAGGCATGCACAATCCTCTGTCAACCTTATACTGTTCAACCACTAATTTCACATGTCAATGTCCCAAAGCAACCAACTGTTGAACCATTCAAAGAAATATCAGAAAAGTCAAAATTTAACAGCATGCTAACCCCTAACCTAATCCACCACTCTACAACAAGAAGAACATGAAACTTGAACATGCTCAAGCAAAGATAAAAGGACACATTACCTCCAAGGGCAGTCTTCCAGACAGTTGTGTTCACTGTTATAATTGCAACAGCTACTTCCCTAAGAACAGTCTCAAGCCCATAGTTTCTTTTACCATGTTCAAGGCCTGTAAAAATTTATGTACACAGCTTTTAGTTAGAAGCTTCATCCTATGTACTGCTTCTTCCCTCCACTCCAAATTAAATGTGACAATCTGATCTTGCACATGCATTCACTTCAACCACTAGATATTCAGTTGCACGTATGGTTTCCCTTCTCTCAGACAGGGAAGACATGCACGGATATAAGTAAGCAGCAACTAGTAATTTATGCCATGAATCAAATCTACATATGAATAGCTTATTCAGTATGAGAGGCCTCTGTTCGTTATGTCCCCTTTCTCCTTCTGGTGCTTTCAGTTCAACACGTTTTGTTCTGCAGCAAGCACCTCTGCTAGACTATAACAATTATCTCAACCATGTTTCACATCCTTTCCAACTGTTCCCACTTTTAAGTTCATTACCGCCAAATGCAGAATGCTCCTCATCATGAGTTCACTATATATGCCACTTGGGATTACACAAGGAATTTAGGAGTCTCTCGACTTGTTTTCTGTTTAAGTCTGTTTCTAGAGAAATAATCATATGTAATGTACATGAGAAATTCTAGAAGGCGGCTTTTTCCAGATGTTGCTTTAAAAAACCCAACATCTTCTTGTACGTTACCGTATGCTCTGTCCATTATCTTATGAGAAACCTCATCAAAATCAAAGGAAATCTCACTTAGCTTCTGACCCCACATTAGCGCCCTTTCAGGCATCCCCTGCTTGCAATAATGGGATAGTAACACATTAGCTGAAATGACATTTGGAATAAAGGCCATCTTAAGCAATTTTGCAGTTATGATCATAGCACGATCCAGTATGTCTCTACAGACACCATTCATCATAGTATTGTATGTCACAGTGTCTGGAATAACACCTACTGTAACAAGTTCATCCAGCATCATTACAGCTCTATTCATCATTCGACTACGACAGAAACTATGAATTCGTATATTATAGGTTGTGATGTCTGGTTCCCACCCAATAGCATACAGGTTATTCATAAACTCATCCACTCTAACCATGTCCAGTGCTTCACAATACCCACCAATCAGAGTGTTGTATGTTACAATATCTGGGGCCAGCCCCGCCCGATGAATGTCCATAAATGCATCAAATGCTGACTTCATCTTGGCTTGTTTACAAAATCCATTAATAATGATATTGGAGGTATAAATATCAGGAAGAAGACCCTTCTGCCTCATCCTTCTTTCCAATTTCAGTGCTTCATGTATCTTTCCACCATTACAAAACCCACCAATCAAGGAGTTATATACAAAATTATTTGGAATTAATCCTTTTTTTGACATTTCAAGAAACAAATCATACGCCTCCTCAATTAGACCAGCTTTGGAAAGTCCATTGATAAAGGCTGAAAATGCAACAGCATCGGGGGATATCCCCCTACATTCCATTTCATTCCAAAGATCTTGAGCCCCTGCTAAATCTCCATTCCTGAAGTAACCATCCAAAAGCACTGTAAAAGCCACTCTATTAATGAGAAAACCCTTCTCCATCATCTTATACAATAGCTCCCTGGCATCCTGCAGCCTCCCCTTCTTGGACAAACCCATGAGCAAAGAACTACATGTGGAAGATGATGGACTCAAGCTGGATTTTATCATAATTTTATAGACTTTGTAGGCATCATCTTCTAAGCCTGCCTTGCTATATGCTGCAATAACTGAGTTAAAAGCAACAACACTTGGTGTCATCCCTTTCTCAAGCATATTCTCTAAAAATTCCATGGCTTCATCCAAACGACCCACCCAACATAACCCTGCAACTGAAATATCACACAATGAATGATCTGGAAGCAAATCCAGTACCGCTAACTCTCTCAACAACCTATCTCCATCCTCTTCCCGTCCATACTTGTAATGCCCAGCAACCAAAATGTTAAAAGTTACTGCATCAGGAGCTATACCCTTCGATATCATTTCTTCATAAAGCAAGTTTGCCTGACCAATATCCCTTGCCTTAACATACCCATTGATCAAGGTATTACATATTACAACATTAGGAGAAAGACCCAACTCTTGAATCTCATCAAAAACCTCCCTTGCTTCCACCACATTTCCCTCAGAACACAAGGCATTAACAATTGTACTAAATGTAACAATGTTTGGCTTACAACCCCTCTCTATCATCCGATGGACCCAAGCAAGTGCATCTGAAGTCCGTCCACTAATGCAATAGGCATTAATCAGAATATTATATGCGTAAACATCCGGATTACATTTAAACTTCCCCATCACATTAAGCAAACTCTCTCCAACTCTAACATGACCCTTTCTGCAAAAACCAAAAATCATGACATTGAAAGTATAATTAGAAGGACGAGGTCCTTCGTGAATCATATCTCTAAACAGCTTCCACACGCTACCATAATCCCCAACCCTAAGCAAAAGCTTAAAAAGAATTGTCATTGCAGATGAACTTGGCCTCACACCCACCTCCCTCATCCTAGTCAAAATCTTCAGTGCTTGTGAACCCATATCTACAATCAAAAAGGCCCGCATAAGCGTATCAAGAACCGAGGAATCCGACTCGAACACATGATGACCTTCCCACATAAACTCCACCAAATCCTCACTCCTATTCTCCCCAATTCTCCTAATCACCCAGGAAACCACATCTTGAGCAAGAAATCTAAGGTTCTGAGCCCCCAAAATATGCGCAACGGTGCAAGAAGATCTAATGGTACTCTCAGAATCATCCCTAAATGCAAATTTAAAGAATGCAAACGCGGTCTCTCTGGTTCCTAAATGTTTCATGATTTCTACCATCAACCATGGGCAAAATTCGTTGGAAAAACCCTTCAATAAATACCCACGTTTCCACTTGATTATCTTTGATAACCCAACAGTGATTCTACGGCGTTCGTTCGAATTAATAAGGTTTAAAGAATCTGTGGCAGCTGCTTTATTAGAGTTACAAAATGGGGAAAACTGATTCCAGTAATCGAAGCCTGTTGAACTTGAAGAAGAAGAATGGCGCGTTTGGGAATTTAGTGCGTTAAGGAAATGAATAAGACTGAATGAAATTAGGGATAGTGAGGAGTGAGCATAAGCTCGTGGTTTTGGTAAAGAAGAGAGAAAGAGAGAAGAATTATACACCTGGAAAGAACAGCGCACACGGCTAACTTTAGCAGACATGCAGAAGCCGTCTTTTGTCTTCGAACGATGAGCTGTTCCGGCAATCGAGCAGCAGAGGACCCGCTCGTCGGGATGGTTCAGGAAAGTCGGCAGTGCATTAGTAACAATGATGGGTAAGACCCGTTGCTGAATTCAACTATGCCAATGCCTTATTTTCTTTTTCCTTAGTTTTGTTTGTCGAAACTCAATTTTATGTAGTGGGCCGAACCTGATCCAGAGGGCTAGACTGTGGTGCACTTGGGCCTTTAATTGGATATGATTTTGGGCCTAGATAGTAAAAATGGGCCAGCCAGCAATAGCATGATAAAAAAATTATGGATATGTGTTTAACTTGACAATTCGTTTTTTTAACTTAAACGTGTTAAGTACGATTAAATACGAAACATGCTAAGATTAAATATATATATGATATAAATAATATTCATATCTTAAATATAAAACACATATATGTATACGTTTAATTATTATATAATATGACATGATACG